CACAATAAAAAAATCCGGGAAAAATTAAATTTTTTGTTAAAACGTGTAAAATCATAAAACAATTTATAAATAAAATACAAGCTCAGAAAATCATTTATATATTAAAAGTATAATTCAACAATATCAAGTAATAAAGCAGGTTTCAGAATCGGATATAAAACAGAATACAAACTACATGCCCCTTAATCACATGAACCATACTCCTCAAGCAACGCCGGTGGAACTCATTAACTGATGTCGATAGCTTCATTGATTCGATTCTTTTAACATGAAATGATGAGTAAAGAGTGAGCTTTGGGAAGCTCAGTAATACAAAAGTACCGGATGAATGCAATAGGCCATCGAGTATAAGGTATAACAAATTCCTTAGCGGGACAGTTATCATCAGATTCTAGTGGTGAATTCAGATTCCATTAGCTAAGTCTTCAGTTACAAACAAAAATTTACGGTCTGAAGGAAGTATTCAGATAGATATATTCAGAAGATTGAATTATGGAGTCTAGTGTGTTCCAACAAAACAGAGAAATGTGTACATATCCTTTAAAAACATTAGTAGTTTCAAACATATTTTAAAACCACAGTAATACCCTCCAACCAAACACTGATATGCAGTTCCCCAGAACTACATCCATAAGGACTTACCCTAGGCCCATTGGGCGTAGGAGCCAACCTAAGGAACACCTTGGGTCTATAAGGTCTTACCCTAGTCGAAGCGTAGGTGCCCACTTGAAGGGTGTGCCCTCAGGCCTATAAGGACTTACCCAATGCACACAGAAGAGAAGCCACCATAAGGTGGTACTTTAGGGTCCATAAGGTCTTACCACTAGGCCCAAGAGCCCACCCAAGGGTCGTCTTAGGCCCATAAGAAATTACCAGCTTGATCGATCTGAACCTCTATAAGGAATTACCAGTTTGATCGGAGTTGAACCTACATACTCCAGAATCCTACCCAGATAATATCCCAATAATATGTTCATCATTAAATTGCAGATTCCATGATCTATAAATCATGAACGATTATATTTTCCAGTGAAAACAAGTAACCAGAGAACATATATCATGTAGCCATAGTTCATAAACAGTAAATCAATACATCAGTAAATCCAAAATTTCAAAAAATCTCATTTTAAAACAGGTAAAACAATTATATAACGTATAAGGAACACACTAGAGGATCTAATTATTTTTCGGAGGTACTTAGCAATTATCAAGCGAGGGAAACACGAACTTCTTCCAATTGATTGAATTTAAAAAATGAGATCTCTATAAAAAGGGAGTTTGATAACTAACAGATTCATCAGTTATTTGGGAAGTGATTTATCAAGATCATATATTATTCATAAATTTTTCGGAGGCACTATGTAATCAGTAAGATAATAAAGAATTTATTATATCGAATTATTATATCGAAACTTACTAAGATTCGAATATAACAAGAGTGATTCCATTATTCAGTCTATCAGGGCATTTTAGACATTTTGATTCTTGAAGAATTCTTAGTAATGTAACCAAATAAGGGTCAAACTTGTTTACAGTATTCGGGATTTATATCAAATTATCAAACTTTCGAGACAAGTAGACTAATCAGATTTCAACATAGCGATACTTTCCACTTATTCAAACCGAGGTATGTCACCATTATTCAGTTCTTAATACTGATTGCTCTAGTTGAACTGATCACCTTCAACACCATTATTCCAATGAAGTTTATTTCATTTCTGTATTACAATGGTATCAAGAAATGTCAACGTGCTTGATTTGTGCTTTAAAACCCTTATGGACGGTACAATATATAAGTTCATCAACATTTTCAGACTTATCCAAGTCATCCGCTTAATTCTAGGTCATTGAGGTACTTAGGTTAATTAGTATTCAAGTTTATCCCTGTCATTTTGGATTTTCCAAAGTAATTCAATCATTTTAACAATTCAGATACGTACAATACTACCATTCAGTTCAACTTTGTCATATAATATAGTCATTTGAATATAGGAGATTATTTTAGTTATTCACAGCTCAATGACATTTCGATAATTCTTTTCAATCCAAACATAAACACTTTTTCTGGTAATTTAATCAAGTATATCCTTTATGGATTATTTGTTTCCACTTTCATGGATAATTCTTATCTTTTAACAATATAAGAGTATTTTCGTAATTTTACCACTTAAGGGTATTTTTGTAATTTTACGTAACAAAAGTATTTTCATAATTTCTCATCCAAGTATTTTTGGCATTTAACCTTCAAAGAAATTAATCAGAATTTTTGGATTATGAGATCAATTTATTTACTAACTAACCACTAAACTTAGAAATATTTCCAATCGGTCTACCAATTTCTTTTATGAGCCGTCTGAGTCTTATATAGTGTTATGTCTTTATTCCAACTTCAGTTTAAGTTTAATGATAATTAAATACACCTAATTGATCAATCATTTCCATTCATGCATTTACCATACCAACATGTTCCATAAAGTATACATAAGGTAGTAATATATTACCTCGATTTTTGAGCTTCCCCGATCAAACATTTAAACTCTATTTGATCGCTCTCGAACTTGAATCCAACATCCAATAATATCTCGGATACATGTAAAGAGAAATTACATCAGAAACAGAGCTTAATTGCGAAAACAGATCGAATCAGGAGGTTAATGAGTGAAAAACAACTTATCGGGTTGAATTTGGTGAAACAGACCTAAAAAATGGACTCAGGACGTTGAAAAATATCATGATAATTGTTCCCAAAAAAGTCAATAGTCGGTCAATGACGATCACGACCAGTCAATGTTCGGTACGGTCAAGGCATGGTCTTTCTCGGTTCAGCTTGGCTCGGCTCGGCTAGGCTCGGCAACTCGGCTCGACTCGATAGCTCGGCTCGGTACAGATTAACCCAAACGGGTCAGACCAGTTTAACCGGTTCGGTAGACCCCCTGGATGGTAGACGACGCCCAAGCGCAAATGGCAGCGCATGCGGCAGCTCTGGTTATCGGTTCGACGTGAAATTTTTCAGTCTCATAGATCGACACCTCAGGAGTCTCGTGCATGCGTTATTTTTCGATGAAACATAGCGTAATGTGGAATTTTAAAACGTTCAAACTTTTCCAACGATGACCAACGAGTGAAAACGGCGGAGCAACGGTGGCGCGACGATTTCGATCGGTTTTGAGCGTACGATGATGAAGAGTCCAACCACGCCAATGGTGAGGTAAACCGATGAGCGATGTGGCCGAAATCGAAGAAAATCCCACGCGCAACAAGGGGTTTCGACGAATTTCTTATGTTTAATTTGCGACAATCCATGGCGCTACTCGGCAAGGGGAAAAAGGGGTTTTTGTCGCACGTGACCGGCTCTTCGCCTGGTGCTGGTGGTGTAAGCCACCGCTGGGCTGTGACTGGTGAACGACGGTGAATGGCTGTGGGTAAACCAATTTGGTTTTGCTATGGTGTTTCACCGGTGGGAGTTGATTATGAGAAAATGAGATTTCATTTAGTTTAAAAATATTTAATTTATTTCACATCAATTATAACAACCTAACCTAAATGGCTAATGCTTAGATTTGGTTCCCCTCTTATATAAAAAATACGGGTTCAAATCCCACAAACTACATTTATTTTATTTATTTTACATTGAAAGGATGGGCAATTTTAAACTTGGGTCTCTGAACTTTCAAAAAAATTTAAAACTACCATAACATTTTCAAGATCTTATAAACTGATGCCGAAATTTGATTAAATAAATTTAATTTAAAAACAAGAGAAAATTGGGGTGTTACAGTATTTCACATATTTTAATCCCAACACAAGATTTATACAACAATAAGATCAGACTCGCTTCATATACATCACTGTTAAGGAGTGATGTTGCCCTACCAATAGCACCACAATCATTCTAACCGCCATGTTCACTTATGACACATTATGGATTTTTGTAATTTGCATTCAAAATGAGATTGTTGATTAGACACTTTCACAATTGTTATTCTTTATTCTTGATAGGTTATCTATTATCGTATGATTAGTCATGAATGAACTTGTCCGATAACACACTAATTCAGAAGATTTAATCTAATAAATTTTGGGAAAACATGCTTCACCTTTGTGCTTTCCCAAAATTTAAAGCATTTAAATTTAAAATTTAAAATCTTGAAATGCGAGTTTGATTAATCGCGTCTTTTACGTAGATAAAGAGATTGTCACAAAGACAGAAAGATGTATGCATAATATTTTTTTTTAAAGATACACCCAATACGACACTTTTATTTTACATATTAAAGATAGATACTATTTCCGTAAATAATTTTTGAAATGTGTTGTATTAATAAATATTAAAAAAAAAGAACCGTTCTATTGTGTAATGAAGCCTGCAATTGAAGCATTTACGAGTAAAAAAGAATTATGCGGTGCCATATTATTGAAAGAAACGATAAAGTAGGAAGGATTTATGCAATAGTAATTTGCTATATCAGACCAGGCTATCTTTTTTTCTTATACTCAACATTGATGAATAAAACAAGTTTAGGCGGTCAACGGAATTGAATCCACTAAATGATGAGTCAGCTTAATAGGTAACTTAAGCAACACGGTTTGCTTTTGCCACCGTAAAAGCAGCTAGCATTAAATAGACAACTACATTATTTTTTGCTGGGTTTTAATGTCAACGGAAGACTAGTACGAGCCCAAGGAAATCGTTGGGTAGATTCTATTAGTAGTCATTAAATTTTTAAGACATTTTGGTTACTAAAATAATTATTTTTATTGGAGTCACTATATTAAGGAATATTTTCATTTCAGTCATTGTACCGTTAAAAGCTTCTCATCAAGTTCACCTATCACTTTTTTTTATAAACTAATATTATTTAATAAGACGATGATATGCCTCATCGTTTTACGGTAAGAAAACATAGGAAAATAATTGCAAATGATTAAAGTAATTTCAGCTCCACATATATAACTGGATCCGATCAGAAACTTAACAATGAAAACACAACATAACCGAACATATATTATTTAGTAATCACCTCGTACTATTAAAAAAACCAGAAACAGCAAATACAAGAACACTGTCGCGCACCGCATAGAGTTATTAGGGTTTTCGTGATCCAGTTTCCTTATACGACTATGTTATTAGGGTTTCGACTTCCACTGGCTGTGTCTAAGGCGTCGATGGAACTATTTTGCTGTGTCCACAGCTGTGCATATCTTCCTGCCTTCGCCAAGAGAATGTCATGTGATCCCTGTTCAATAACCTTGCCACTCTCCAGAACTATTATCTGGAAGAAGGAAAAAAAGTTAAAAAGAAAAAAAAATACTTGAGCAGCAGGTAAATCTGGAAAAGATACAACTGACTTAGTTCAGGGATAGATTAAAGGACGAGGTTGGTTGAAAGGGAGAATATTCGAGGAACGGAGTCAGATTGAGTAAATTGCAGTGTTCTGCACAACCCAAATATCCCAACTGTTCAGTAACACAAGACTTCATAATTTCAGTAAAAACCTATGTGTTTTTTTTTCTCTGATGATGAACGCAAATTATTTTAAAATAAGCAAAAAGAAAAGCACCCATAACTAGATGAATTTTCAGGCTGAATAGGTAGTAAAAGATAAATATACAGTTTTAAGGGATGCTGCTAAATTTTTAATTTGGTGCGTACTCTGAAATTGCTGAAACTAGGATTGTATACATTTAAGTGTACATTTTTGAACCAAGACTAATCAACATAGTTGCCATGGAATCTTGTCTACTTGGCAAACGTAGGGAAAGCACAAGGAGAAAAAAAAATGTTTGAGAGGCTAAAGGTATATCCTCAATCACCTTGCATTTCTCAAATGTTTTAACCCAAGGTCATAGCAAATAGTAATTGGTAAAAACACATCATTCATGTAAATGGAGGATTGTGGACAATGAGTTGAAGGCCTGAAAGATGAGGAGGAGGACAAATAACCTTATTTTTAGTAATATACCTATTAAAATAATTATTTTAACAAGTATTTTACAAGAATAAATTACCATATCTCTATTTAAGAGAAAGATTGGAAGTAATGAAAGACATGTTTATTCCAATCATACAAGTTAAAAGACTCTCTCCCTAACGAGTCTTAGCTTAAGATCTCCCTTTGACAATTTCTAAATATTATTAATCATAGGTTCTTTCTTCGCTAGGTAGGAATCACAAGGAAAAGGCTTCACCAATCTTAGCGGAGAGAATTAACAAATCCCAAGTGGTAGAAGCCGGGTCATGAATGGCGCAAGTGTAGCAGAAACCAAGTCTAAATTGGGTAATCAGTTGCAACAAGTATCACTACAACTACAGAAACTTATTTTTATTGCAATGGAAGTCGAAAACAAGAGTTAAATGGGGGTAGGGGAGCAGTAACCAAGGAAACCACAATTTCAGAATAAACAATTGCCCGTATAGGGTCTAGAGTGGTATCGCCGTATGCAAAGTTTTATTTTCCCTTTGATTGTCAACGGACCCATTAATTTTGTTATACCAATGCAAGAAATTCATTTTTCAATCAGTGAACAACCAAAATAGGCAAGATTAGTTTGGCGGCCCTTCATATGTTGGGCGAGGCATAATTATGGTACTAGTAGATGAAGGAGGAACAAAATCTCACACGAGAGGAATTCAAGGAATACTGCACATTGACATTTGACTCAACACTATGTAATAACCCATAACGTAAATTTGTTAACTAGAAACAAACTAAAGCAATTGAGGAGTATTTGCCAAGGTTATCAATATTGTATCCGTAGGCATACCATTTTTGTTCTTATACAAGTATGTTTTCATACTGGCATGTTTCAGTGTATCGTTTTGGATTTATCGGTATTTAAAAAAAACTTCATATCTAGTCCAATTTTTGGTTTCTAATTAATATACATAATATTTACATGCAAATATAAGTGAAAAACACTCATTCAAAGGCGTAAATGCGTTTCTCATAATCAGCTCGAGGTGGAGTCCGACCGAAAAAGACCATTTCTGGGTCAAGTGGAACAAGACCTCAGCCGTCTCTTATTTTTCATTTTTATTGGCATTCCTATATATTTTGCCTTCTTAATAGTAAAAAAAAACACTAATAACTCAGCTAAGGTGCTGTTAATTATATACGTGTAAACATGTATACACACCTAGTGACATGATCCACAACTCGTGAACTAACATGTAGATACCAATTTTAAAATAACACATTCATGGCACATGTTTTTCATAGATATCCATACCTCATCGCACTGCATTGCTGTTGTAAGCCTGTGAGCAATGAAGATTGAAGTCCTATTATTTGCTAGTGACTTCAATGCATTCAATATCTCTGCTTCCGTCGTACTATCAAGGGCACTAGTAGCTTCATCACACAACCTGTGAATAGATATGAAAAGAAAATCATGCTATGTATATGACAAATATAAGAAACAGGCTTTCCTTTTTTGTGTGTGTGTGTGCCCCGGGGGTGGGGGTAGCATATCTTTCGGGTTTGGGGGAATCCATCTCACATGACAAGTAGATTCTCCATGAAAGGGTTAAAAAAAAACTATTTTTCAACCGAACATGGAAGGACATCATCTTATGTCCCTTCGATGGCCCAAATCCATCCGCATAGATAACAATCTCAAAATAAGGAAATCAAACACTGTAAATCAGTAATATATCAAACATAACAATAAAGAGTAGTTAAGATATGTACACATAATATATTACATCAAGAAAGAATGCTTACAAAATGGCAGGAGCTTTCAGGAATGCACGTGCAAGAGCTACGCGTTGTTTCTCACCGCCACTTAACTGGCAACAAAAGTCACCTAATTAGTTAAAATTTCTAGAGAATACCAAAAGGCAATCTATAGAAAGGACCTTTTTCGCATTAGAGTTCTTTGGACTGGAATTTATCGTCAGAATTTATTTATTGAATAGTGCATCTGATAGTTCAAATAAAAATCATACCATTATGACGAAGAAGCCTTAATCAGACATAATACCATTCTTATGATTTAAACAATCGTGAATAGAACCTCTAACCTTAAGCCCTCGTTCTCCAACAACAGTTGAATATTTTTCAGGGAAGTTCATGATAGTCTCGTGAATAGCAGCCCGTTTAGCAGCATCATAAACCTATATGGAAACAAGTGTGACTGTAAAATTATAAATAAAAAATAGAAAATAATTAATGCAGTGAAATATGAGATTAACCTCTTCGTTTGTCGCTGAAAGACGACCATAATGTATATTGTGAAATATTGTATCATTGAACAGTACCTGCCCATAGAGCACAACTGGTGTTCCTCATTGGTTTATGCATAAATAAACAACTACAAAAATAAAAAATTGCCTGTTGAACTAACACTATCTTGAGGCACAACACCAATAGATTGTCGAAGACTACCCAATGTTGCATCTCTTATGTCTTGACCATCAATCCTGATCTGTACAGAGAACTGGCCAGTGAGTCAAATTGTAAAAAGAGGTGCTAAATTTCTGGTCTTAAATGAAATGGCATGGAAGCTGTCACCAGCATGCAAAAAGAATAGCTTACCCAATGAGTAACAATTCAGAGTATATAAATGACTCAAAATTGTATACTCATTATGAAGACTGTAAAGATAACGTCATTAACTCGAGAGTTAAGATTCCCAAAACCAGAAACATGCATTGGTAACTTATAGTACAACTGAAAAAAGTACTTGTTATTACACTTCCTGAATGAGCATCAAAAAGCCTGAAGAGTAATCGAAGAATGGTTGACTTGCCTGAAAGTAAATTTTAAACTGATTAAATCAATGGTTAAATATAATACAATATAAGAAGTTAAGAACTTCGATAACAAAACCACAATTAGCTAAAAGTCTTTAAACATGGTAGCTGGAATAACCAACTGACAATCAAAACTAAAGGCAAGTACGAAAAAGAAAAAAACTTTTGCTTGAAGTTATGAACCACCATGACACCATCTCAGCGAGACATTTCCAACTAAACATTTGAAGCTCCACATGCTTTTCATACACCGGAAAAAGAAATAGTTTATACACCGGAAAAAGAAATAGTTTTCTCAAAGTCATGCATGTAATGCTCAAGTCTTGGGTGTTTGAGCATTCAACAGGTGAGACAATCATAACACTAGAACAGCCATGGATTTAAAGGAAAACAAAAATGTTAACAAATGTTCCATATTGTTAAATCCTAGATGGATATCCGACTTAGAATCAATCGAAAATAGGTTATGTGCCCAGGTTAACCAATCTAATATATGTGAGATTTATTTTATCTCCACTCTAATACTCATCCACAATGGACCTCTCAGGTGGCATGAATTAAAGAAAAAGGGTAACACCTGGTCTAATAACATGTTAAATGAAGAGAATTGAAGAAAAAGTTAAGTCCACCAATATGGTAGTCTCCTTGTATTTATGTTGAAACATTAAGTACAAACAAAGCAGTTAATATACCCTTAACTTACATATGTGACACCCAAAAGAAAATACCAAGTATGAGTTCCCATATGAAGCCTTACCACTTCCACTAGTTCCTACAATAGCCATACTTTTCCCAGCTGGTACAATAAATGATACCCCATCCAGAATCTTTCTTTCTGCCAGGTAACTATTATAATAAAAAAAGATGGTTAAATAAATTTAGTAGACACTAACTCGTGCACAATGTTAAACCAAACTACTGAATGATGAAAAAATAATCAAATTACACAACAACAACAAAAAAAACTAAAGCACATACGGATAGTCAAACCTCAATAACTTTTCTTGACAAATGAAGTTCATGATTTTTGTTTAGATTAATTTACAATTGATTAATTTAATAAGTAATGATGAACTTAAATGGTTTGGTTCATTTAATCCAAATGAATTTAAGATACTATATTACTTGCCAACATGTTAAGAAACCAAATGGGGTCACACATAATAGAACGTGACCAGTGCAAGATTAAAGTGAACATAATTAAATTAAGACTTAAATAAAAGTTGGGAACTTGAGGAACTACATTATATAAATTAAAGTCTAAGAAGACTAGTCAATGGTGCAAGTCATACTTAGAAAAAGGCTAGGATAACCTCCCCTATAAAAGGAAGGCTATGGCACCCCTCTTAAATAAAATTTACTCATCAATTACTTAGGATGTGGCAGTTGGCTGGATTAAGGATGTGGTCTCTTGTCCTGTTGTTTATGTTCAAATAGTTAAAGACATTATTCAAAAGCTTAGTGTTTTTGAAGGTTTTATTAGTTGGGTTAGTAGGACAGCCAATATAGAGGCGGATGTCCTAGCTAAGGCGGGTATTGGTTGAATTATGCTCTGTTAAGGGCTGTTTCTTTTTGGTTTTATATCTCTTGAGGGAGATGGTTTGTATTACTTTGTTATATTTGAGTTTATTGAATCCTAGGGCACTCCTTTCCTCCTTGTGTGGATTAAGGAACTATTTTTAAGTTCCGTTAACCACCAAGGGGGTTTATTGAGGCCTTTTATTCCTATCAAAAAAAAATTACTTAGGCTTTACTTGATATGAAAGACAAAAAAGTGAGAAAGAATTTTTTTTCTTAATGTAATGGTTAAGCTACAAAAGTAGGAAAGTGGTTATGAAACTTAACTATTTGATTAACAAATTTTCCATTTGCATTCCTTTCCATCCTTCATACCAAGCAATGCCTCAATGTTTGAGAATTCTTGAGAGAATTCTAGAAAGCAATTTGAATGACAATACAAACATGGTATTTTGACAAGCTTCCTCTCATCATTGTTGAAGGTTTTTTTCTTTCTTGTCAGTATGAACTTGGTCACTAGAAGCTGAATACTTCATGAAACACAATTTGTTCCAATCTTCCAGACCAAGAGGTATGCTCTATGCAATTAGCGTTGTATGATTCTACAACTCATCAACGTGATCAAATGATTAGGAAATTTTAAAAAATTTAAAATCTGCTGTTTTTTTTTAATCTGTGATTATATTTATGACCATCTCGCAATACAGTGCCGAGTTTATTTTTTATGTTAGAAATATCTAGAAAAATGAAATCTAGTATCTCTCCATTTACCTTATTTTCCTTTCCTAGCCCTTTTCTCATTCAAGCATAGGGTAACATCTGAATCACTAGAATAATCTAGCTCCACTAAAAGCACAAGTAGAGGCAGCTGCCCAATTATATGCCCATACACTAAATGCAAATGCTTGCCTTTAGAACATGACTAACTACGAAGATAACAGCTAATCACCTGAAATGCACATTGTCAAACAGAATTCTTCCCCCATTCAGCTTCAGAGGCTTTGCATCTTTCTTGTCACTGATATCAACCTTCTCCTGCAACAATTATTAAGTTGAATAACATATATTAGAAAAGCAACATGATATGATCCCCATATCATGTTGAATAGTTTTTGAATTACAAAACTGAATTCATCAGTGCTCTTGATATGGATCATGATCATTAGACACAATCAGGGTTTGAAAAATAATGTGAAGCGGTGAAACAAACATACATTAAGAATAGCAGGGCTCGAATGTCAGATAACATGAGTGAGAAAGTTAGTGAGAGAGAGCGTGTGGAGTCGAGAGACAATGTTTCTCCTGGTAGGGGTAGAGCAGTGCAGGGTGGTGGATCGTGGGTAGCTTTTATAGATAATCTTAGTAGGAGAGTACATAGAAGCATTTTATGGGATCGTTTTAGTCTTCATGGCAAGGTGGTTAAGGTGTTCATTCCTTTTGTTAATAGGAGACCTAACTATAAGGATAAAACGTTTGCTTTTGTGCACTTTGCAAGTAAGGAGGATTTGCTTAATGCAAAGAGCAAGATGAACAATGTCATGGTAGATGGGAGGAGAATAGTGGTAACGATTGCGAAATATCAGAAGAGCAGTTTTCCAGGGTTCCATAAGCGCAAAAGTGTAGAGGGGCCAGGAGAGGCAGGTGTGGAGGTATCCAAAAGGAAAAGTCCAATATGTCATGTTGTTGATGCTGGGAAGAAGGAGCTGTTGAACAAGTTTCATGATGGTAGAACTTATAAGGATACGGTTGCGGGAGTGAGAAATGTTGCTGGTCAGCAGGATATTAGCTCTGGGGATAGGAGGGAGGTGAGGAAGGCTTTGGACGTCTATATTCCAATGGAGGAAAGAACATGCTGAGAACGTCTTTAACTGGTATTTGTAAAGCGATTTTTGAAGTTGAGCTCGTTCAGAGGGCTTTACGAAGCGAAGGAATCAATGTCATGGTGGTAAGGTGGGGTTATGCAAAGAATGCATGTTTGATGGTTTTCCGATCAGCGGAGGAGAAAGAAGCAGCGGTGGAAAACAAGTGGGATCTTTTTGGTTCGAAAGGTTGGAGCCAGTTATGGAAGAGAAGTGTGTCCCTTTACCTTATTGTGAAGTTTCCATGGTTGGTGTCCCATTAAATTGCTGGTCAGTTTCTTTCTTTACAAGTTTGGAAGAGAGATGGGGCAAATTAGTGAAGATTTAGGAGCATACAACTCAAAAAGTCATATGCTGTTGAGGGTTGAGAGCCCGTTTGATATCCCGCCTTATGTCATCATTAATACTTATGGAAGATCTTTTATTATTAAGATTAAAGTTGAAGGCAGTGAGGATTTCTTTCTTGCGATAGAAGATGGAGTTGATGAAGAAGGTTATGTGGAAGGAACAATTGATCCATGGGAGGAAACCTCGTCGGAAGATAATCAAGGGGAAGAGCGGGAGGGTCTGCAGGAGCAGTTGAATTTCAAAAAGATGGCAGACACGCAGAACAGGGTTGAAGCATGGGTTAGGAATGCTACAACTGGGGGTGACACGCCTTCCGATGGTAATTTGATAAAAAATGTTGAAGTCAATAATATCTTTGGGGCTGACTTAGGTTCAGAGGGGACAGTACTAGGTGAGGTCCAGAGTCAGCAGCAAGTGTCAGGGGCTTTTTTTGAAGGAAGGATTAGGGTGCAGAGAAGGGGAGGTGTTATCTCGGGAAAAGATAAAGTGGTCACAGATGATGGGCTTAATTCCTGCATGGAGAGGAGAGAGGTGTTTGGGCCTGAGCAGGGAAGCCCAAGAGTTAATAGTAACGGGATAAGTCTACAAAATTATTTTATGGTTTACAAGCTTATTGCGGTCTGTAGAAAGGGTCTGTTTCTTCGGGCCAGCGGCGTCCCATTGGGAGGAGTGCTTCAGTTAGTAAAGCTGAGAGGGGTTTTTATAAGAATGTGTATGCTAGGAGATGGGATGCTAAAAGTTGTAGTGGCAAGTGGTCTGACTTTGTTACAGAAAAGGAGGATCAGGGGAGGTCAGAAGCTTTAGAATGTTGGAATGTCTCTAAATTGTTGGGGGTTAAATTTAAAGGAGGCGAATCAGAGTTCTTAACCAAAGTGGGGCCTTTGGTTAATGGGAGAGAGGATTGATGGTTGGGAGTAGGATGTTGGATTTATGGTGTTAGTAAGATTTTGATGGTAGAGTGGTCTATAATGTGTTGGAATGTTAAGGGTTTGGGTAGGAGGGTGAAAGCTAGAGCAATTAGGAGGTTTGTGGAGGAGAAAAAGCCAACAATTTTATTTTTACAAGAATAAAATTGGAAGTTGTAAGTCCTTTGTTAGTAAGGAAAATGGGAGGTAATTTACTCACTGGTTCAGTAACAGTTCCTGCTGTAGGTTCTGCTGGTGGGTTAATAACTGTGGAATCAAAAGGAATTTGTGATGAAGGAAGAAGTCATACACAGTAGATTTGTGGCAATAAAGGGGTCATTGGAAGGAGTACCAGGTACTTGTTGTTTTATTAGCGTATATGGTCCGAGTGTTGATGCAGAGAAGGAGCAGTTTTTTAGGGATCTATCAGCTTTTTTGGAACAGATTGATTGCCCAATATGTTTAGGAGAAGATTACAATGTGGTTTTGTCTCAAGAGGAGAAAGTTGGAGGAGCAGTGAATCCGGTTTCTATGAACAGTTTCAGAGATTTTGTTTGTCAGACGAATTTGATTGATTTGCCGTTATTTGGAGGTCGTTTTACGTGGTGTAACAATAGGGAAGTTCCCACTTATGAGAGGTTGGATCGGTTTTTGGTGGATCAGACATTTTTCTTCCTTTCCAAAATTAAGCCAGACTTTGCTTCCGAGGTCTGTATCCGACCATAACATCATTTGGTTGGAGAACAAGGAATGTAATTAGGGGTTGAAACCGTTTCGGTTGTTTAACTATATATGTTGGAGGAAGATGGGTTTAGTGAGATGTTGAAAAAGGAGCTATTTAAGTCCGACAAAGGGGAGAATACGGAGTCCATTTCCAAAGTACTTAATCGGGTGAAGGATGTGGCAAAGAGGTGGTCGAGGAGGGATTATCTTCAGCTGCCAGGAAAAATTAGAACGTTGGAAAGAGGAATTCAGAATATGGAAGTGGATTTGCAACAAGGATCTTCCATGGTGTCTATGAAATCTATAGTTGAAGCAAAGAGAGAATTATGGGAGCTACAAAAAAGAAGAAGAATCGATTTGGTTGCAAAAGTCGAGAATAAAGTGGAGATTGGAAGGAGATAAGAATACTAGATTTTTCCATCATTGTGCGGCAGTTAGAGGGAGGATAAATTGTATTAAATCTCTCAAAGTTGATAATGTAGTAACCGAAGATCCCAGTGTTATTAAAGCCTCTGTGGTGGAGTTCTTCAAGGGGTTGTTCAATCAAAGGAATACTTTGGAGGTTGAGGATTTAAATCTGGAATTTCTTAGATTATCGGAAGGACAATGTCTAGCTTTGGAGAAGTCATTTTTCGGAAGAGGAAGTATGGGATGTTATTGTTCATTCGGATAGCAACAAAGCTCCGGGTTCGGATGGTCTAAATTTAGGTTTCTTTAAGAAATTCTGGACCTTTTTGAAAGATGATGTCATGCTGTTTTTCAAAGATTTCTATGGGGGGATGGAGTGGGATTCGGAGGTAAACCATTCCTTTATTTCTCTCATTCCCAAGAAAGCCAATCCGGAGGGGTTGGAAGATTTTAGGCCAATTTGTTTAGTCGGTGGGTTATATAAAATCTTATCTAAGGTTTTAGCTAGGAGATTGAGTTTGTGCATTGACGATATTATAAGCCCGTCTCAATTTGCCTTCATTCCGGGAAGGAATATATTAGACTGCTCATTCATAGCAAATGAAAGCATCGACTTTTGGAGGAAGAAAGGGTTGAAGGGAGTAGTCTTCAAAGTGGACTTCAAGAGAGCCTACGATTCGGTGGATTGGGACATTTAGCTGAAAATAATGAGCAAAATGGGGTTTGGTGATAAGTGGAGGTCATGGATGCAACAATGTATGTCTTCAGCATCCATTTCAGTGCTAGTCAATGGGTCACCTACAGAGAAATTTCACACAGCGAGGGGATTGAGACAGGGTTGTTCGTTATCTCCTTTGTTGTTTAATTTGGCTGGTGAGTTAGTGCATTTGTTGCTAACTAAAGCAGTTGACATGGGACTGTTTTCAGGCTTTGATTTAGGTGTTCAAGATAGGGCCTTTAAGCTTTCGCACTTGCAATTTGCGGATGACCTCATAATTTTCAGTAAAAGCTCTACTCGGGATTTGAGGAATGTTAGAAGAGTATTATTAATTTATGAGTTATTAGTGGGGCTGAAGCTTAATCTAGTTAAGAGCAGAATTTATTGTATTAATGTTGAGAATGAGGTGTTAGAGACTTGGGCTAATGATATTGGTTGTGCGGTAGGATATCTCCCTTCTGAGTATCTAGGCTTACCCTTGGGGTTCAAGAGGAATTCGGCTGCTATGTGGGATCCAATAGTGAAGAGATTTCATGCGAAGTTGAGCGGTTGGATGTCTAATTCTCTGTCGCTTGCAGGAAGAGTAGTGTTGGTTAAATCAGTGCTGTGCTCGCTCCCGGTTTATTTTCTTTCCATTTTCAAAATTCCAGTTTCTGTGCTTCAGAAATTAAATTCCATAATGGCTTCTTTTCTGTGGGGGGTGCGGAGTGTAAAAAGAATATCCACTGGTTAAGTTGGAATTCGGTTAGTAAACCAAAAAGATTAGGGGGTCTAGGGGTCTCGAATTTATCAGTCTTGAATCGAGCTTTACTAGGGAAATGGGTATGGAAGTTTGCAGCAGAGAAAGAGTCCTGGTGGAAAAGGGTGGTATGTGGTGTTTATGACTTGGACCCGAAGTGCATAATGATGGGGAACTCCTGGCCAGTCTGTGCATCATGGATTTGGAGAGGTGTGGTTAAAAATTCCTTCTCCGATGATGGTTTTGGGGATTGTCTTAGGAAGAATATGCGGCTGAAGACTGGGAAGGGGAATTCTGTACAGTTCTGGAATGATGTGTGGTTGGGAGAAGTACCGCTGAAAATTCAGTTTCCCAGACTCTATGTTCTTTCGAGTAACAAATCGGGTAAAGTAATGGAGTTTAGGTGAGCAATGGGCTGGCTGGTGTGGGACATTCAAATGAGGCGAAATTTGTCAGATTGGGAGGTTGATCAGTGGTTGCAGTTGATGGCTATGTTGAATAATATTTCTTTATCTCCATGTGAAGAAGACTGTTGGATTTGGTCAGGGAATGGAGAGGGTTGTTTTTCAGCTAAATCTTGTATCAACATTTTCTATGATCAAGATGGTAGTGAGCAGAAGAGGGTGACCTGGGAGAGGCATATTTGGGTTGGGATTGCTCCTCCACGGGTGGAGACATTTGTTTGGCAAGTTGCTCATCAGAGAATAGCGGTTAAGGAGGAACTACTAAAGAGAGGTGTGGTTGGGATAGATGATCCTCTATGTTCTTTGTGTGGTAGGGAAATGGAATCAGTTACGCATCTCTTTTTGCATTGTGAGGTAGTTTGGGGTCTGGGGTCTAAATTTTTGAATATTTGGGATTTCTCCTTTGTGATTCCAAATAATATCATGGATTTTTTGAATTTGTGGGATGATTTACTCCCGAACTCAGTGATCTGGAAGTTTATTCCAAGGGCGTTGATGTGGTCAGTATGGAAATGCAGGAACGAGATCATTTTTCAGAAAGTAAAGATGGATAGGGTGAGATTGTTTTTTATTGTTCGTTTTAGAATAGCTTCCTGGTTTGTTGCAAAGTTTAAGGAGGTGCATGTCCCGTTAGACTCACTTGTGGGTGATTTAAAACTTGCTGATTTAGTAGGAAGACAAGGAAATGGTAATCCACATTTAATCTGCTGGGTCCCTCCTCCGGATGGGTTCTTAAAGATAAATGTTGATGGAGCGACAAGGGCTGGGATAAGGGAGGTATTGGCGGTCTGATTCGGACAGCAAGGGCATGTTGATTAAATGGTTTTCAGAAAGAGTCGGGGGTGGTCCTCCTATCTTGGCAGAATTGTTGGCGATTAAGAGGGGGTTATGTCTCTTGGCAGATTTCAGTTCTGTTCTGAATAAGAGGATCATTCTTGAATCAGATTCAAGCAATGCTCTGAAGGGGATAAAGAATCCGGGGTTATGCACTCCTATGTTTCATTTATTGGTGAAGGATATAGTCTCTTATGGCAGGGAAGGATATCATTATTAGGCATATCTTGAGGGCTGCAAATTGGAAGCTGATAAATTAGCTAAAGATGGGATAGGGTGATGTTTTGGTTACTGTTTGTTTGTGTTGAAGTGTAGGAATTTGTGCTGTGTTTAGCTGTGGTTTTTAAGTTTTATGTAATTCTTGAGGATGTTAGCAGATTGTGAGGGTTTGCTTATGATGTACTAAAGTTTTCATCTATATATTTCTAGGTACTCTTTTCCTCCTTATTTGTCCTTCATGTTACTTGTATAACATGGAGGGTGCAAAAGGGGGTTTTAAAAAAAAATAATAATAATAATGTGAAGCCCTCAGGTTTGAATCTAACCTGGCCTTTTAGGATGTCCTTCTAAAAATCTGGTTGAAGGCAGGACATTTTTTTTAATTAAAACTTTTGGGGTCAGGTCAAAACGTTTTAGAAAAAATCTGCCCCACCCCAGGATATTTACTAAAATACCTCTTTTTTTATTTTATACGTCAGAGATTAGATTCCAAAACTAAGTAGATTATGTAAATCTGTTAGGATCTTTGTAAAGATATTCTGTTAGTTAGGATCCCTAACTCTAAGGGATTATAATTAGTCCTAGGATCAATCTCTTACCTAGTTTAGAAGCTTCCTAAGATAAAACAATATTTTGAATATTTAAATGTATGAGTCTCCTATACAAAATAATAAGATTTTACTCTGATTTTGACATATATCCATTTCTGTATAGCCAAATTAGACTTTCAATTTTTATAAGATTTTATAACATGTATTGGTAAAAGTTAATAAAATATAGCATTAAGTAAAATTTTGGAGCAGGGCAATCAGAGTCGGGAATGTTTTCTTCTAGAGGCCAAGGTGGGGTTCAAAGATTAAATAAAATTAGGTTCGGGGCAGGTTCAGATACATATACACATAAAAATAAGCTTGGGTCACTTTAGCCCACCCTGTGCCATATCTAGGGATGGTATCTAAAATAGAGCAAATCAGCAAACAATTTTTCTGATTGTCTAGTTTTTAGTTATTTTTGGAAAATGGTTTCATAAACTATAATGTATAACCTCGAAGAATAAAAAAAGTGTCAAGCATCAAAGGCAACAAATCAAGACACTTTTAGTTAACAGATACTTCATCACAAATACCTCAAGTAACTGAAACATGGATTTCATGTCAACAAGACTCTGTATGGTCTCACGATAAACGCTTCCAAGGAAATTGAGAGGGAGAGAGAGCTGGAAAAGTAGTCCATTCACCATAACCTGTATTTTCAAATTAAAAAATAGTGGATATCACATTATTCAACAACTAATTTCTTTTGGAAAAATCAAAAGAAAATAAACTTTTGGGACAAGTACAAGCCAACAGAACAAGAAAAATGTTTTACCAAATCACCAACTGTCATTTGGCCATTCATAATTCCATGTGAACACAAAACCATAGCTGTGGATAGAGATGCACTAAATATCACATTTTGACCAAAATTCAGAAAAGCAAGACTCCGTTGTGTTTTCAAAGCAGCATCTTCATACCCTAGAAAGAGGTAACAAAGCGGGAGTAATAGAAGCAATATCAGAAAAAGTGTGAAGAATCAAAAGCATAAATAGTAGACAACTTTGCTCTCATGTTGTCTAACCCTCTTTGTAAAGTCACCAAAAGATCCTCCTCTAGTAAATGAATAAAGACTCTTGCAGAACTTGAAGAACCACATTACAAAATTTTATTTCACATAAAAACTTAGATAATGCCGAAAGCAGGCATCCTGATCCTCTCAGGATGCAATTTCCATGTACTTACTGTAAGAAGAAAGACAATGACAACTAACACATGCAAAGTGCAGGGAAATACTTTCCTTGGAAGCTCTAACATTTGGAACTTGGAAACAAGTCAAAAGATGTAGGGAGCACATTTGCAATGTAAATATGTGCCTCCACTAAACAAATTTAAGCCATTGGAAGTGTCGACTTTCAAATAATATGTGAAAAACAGCCGAGATTAGTAAATCCATCAAGATAAGGAATTTTAGTATATCCTAAATTTTATTTTCTAATTGTATTTTACGAATATTTCATGATTAGGTTTTATCTTAAGTAGAAAAAGATTTTTTAGGAGATAAAGATTAGGACAAGATACCTAGTTGTATTCTACTACTGTAATTTTCGGTCTATTAAAAACAGGCTGCTTTCTTCATTTCAGTAAGCAATTCGAACAGATTCTCTGTTCTTTCTTATTCCTTAGAAATTCTACATGGTCTGTTCTTTCTTCACATGACATCTCTCTTTCTTATTCCTTATAAATTCTACACGGTATCAGGCTAGGCAATCACCATCAATAATAATACATCATGGAAAACCCAGCCACCCATCCCCCACCCACTCCTATCCTAAACCACAGATTCAATGACAATAAACTGATGCTGCCCAAATCCATCAGCCCTAGTGATTGAGAGATCAGTTACTATTTCTTTTGTTGCTGACAACAGTATAGTAAAACGTTGGATAGTCAATTTTGGTGCTTCAGATCACATGACTGGGGATCTCAGTGTGTTTTACAAATACAACCCACAGCCTAGTCTTTCCACTGTTGGAACGGTCGACGGATCACTCTCTAAAGTGGAAGGGATTGGATCAGTTCAACTAACAAAGGACCTTCTTCTATCCTCTGTCCTTTATGTTCCAACATTCGCTTGCAATCTGATTTCTGTTAATTAATTATCAAGTAATTTGAACTGTCACTAAATTTGATTCCAACCTTTGCGAATTTGAGGTAGTGGATTCAGGGAGGCTGATTGACAGTGCTGAATTGTGTGGTAACCTCTATTTGCTCAAAGGGAACTCTCCTCTACATGGAAAAGTTCATTCAAGTTGTGTAACCAACTCTGTTCCTACAATTTCTCTTAATTCTATTGTTTTAGATCCAGTAATGTTAGGGCATTTTCGCTTTGGTCATCCAAACTTTGATTATCTTGCAAAAGTATTTCCTCATTTGTTTAGTAATAAAAAACCAAAATACCAATATACCTTGTTTGTGAAAACATCTTCAAATGATAAGAATACCATTCTTATTGTCTATGTTGATGACATCATTATAACAGGAGATAGCACCGACGAAATAATCAAGCTAAAAGGTTTGTTTTTTGTTGAATTTGAAATCAAAGACCTTGGAGCTCTCGAGTATTTTCTAGGGATGGAGGTTGCTCAGTCCAAAGCAAGAATTGTGATATCCTGTAGAAAGTATGTTCTAGACTTGTTAAAAAAGACAAGCATATTTGGGTGCAAACCAACAGAAACTCCCATGGATCCCAATCTAAAATTGAGAATGAAGGAACATTGGTTGATAAAGGGCAATATCAAAGATTAGTTGGGAAGCTAATCCATCTCTCACATACAAGACTAGACATTGCATACTCAAGTAAGCATCAGAAGCCAGCATATGAACGATCCATGTGAAAAACATCTTGAGGTTGTTAACTGATGCAAACTAGGCTGGAGAATTAACTTAAAAAAGTCTACAAGTGGCTATTGCTATATTGTTTGGGGCAATCTAGTTACATGAAGAAACAAGAAATAGACAGTAGTCTCAAAAAGTAGTGCAGAGGATGAATTTTAAGCACTTGCTTCATGACTTTGTAAAGGAGTTTGGATTAAAAGACTGTTAAAAGAGTTAAAGGTTGTTTCAAAGGATCACTTCAAGATACAAAGTGACAATCAATCCGCTATAAGCATTGCCAGAAATCTTGTTCATCATGAACGGGATTGACAAACACTATATTTCAGAAAAAGTCAACAATGGGGACTATGTAACTAACTTATACTCAACAGCAGCTTGCCAAAATTCTTACCAAAGCCCTTCCAAGGACGTAGATATAAGTCCAAGCTAAGTTTGTACAACATATACAACTCAGCCTGAGGGGAAGCGTGGAGAATTGCCAAGAATAGCAAATCTATCAAGAGAAGGAATTTTAGTTTATCCTAAATTCTGTTTTCTAATTGTAATTTACTTAAATTTTATGGTTAGCTTTATCTTCTTAAGAAGACAAAATAAGCCTTTTTTAGGAGATAAAGATCAGGAAAGATACCTAGTTGTATTCTACTACTGTAATTTTCAGCCTATTAAAAACAAGTTGCTTTCTTCTTTTCAGTAAGCAATTCAAACAGATTCTCAGTTCTTTCTTATTCCTTAGAAGTTCTACATGGTCTGTTCTTTCTTCACACGACATCTCTCTTTCTCATTCCTTAGATCTACATGATTCACATCACCTCTAGTAAACAAAGTTCTTTATTGATTACTAGAATTCAACTGTGAACAAACTAATAATCTCAACTGTTGACCTTCCAAGGTTACTAGAATGTAGAAGCTTGACAGATTAGTTATGCGATAACATCCATTAATTTAATGAAATCTTACTAAATGCATAGTGGTAAATTCACCATAACATTTTAGATAACGAGACTAGCATTTACAGGTAAACGACATAGAAAAATAGGATTGAGTTGCTCTAATTCCATTCTTTATATAAGCTTTTACAATGAATTGGGTTGATGGTTCAATATTTCCATATTGAGAGGAACCACTTCAGAGTCTACAGTCTGCCTAAAATACTTACTCTTTAAGAACTCGTCATACTTTTCAACTTCGTATGCTTCATTGTTGAAATATTTAACTGTCTGAAATATAAGACCGAAGAAAACAATAAATCAGGTATTAATGTGGGCCATATAAGGGAAAAATTACCTAACACAGAAAGATAAAAAGTTTGCTACAAGTTAACAATAAAATGAAAATCTCATAGATTAGAATATAGCCTGACCTCATAATTGATAAGTGAATCAATGGCCCTTGTACTTGCATCATTATCAGCTTTATTCATAATCTTCCTAAATTTGGTTCTCCACTGAAAATAACAAGAGAAGCTTAAGCAAGTAAAATGTTTCACTCCTCACAAGATAAATTAAGGATCCTGAAGAAGTATTGACAAGAATGACGGTACCTGAGTCACACTCAAAGTAAATGCAATATATGCAGCAACTGAGAGAGAAGTTATCCAAGCAAAAGGTGCTCCGAATTTGTATGCTAGTATACCCGATACCATAGATATCTGGAAGGATAGATATTAACTCAGTTGTATTTGTTAAGAATTACATAAGATCTAATGGACTACCTTTTAATCTTAAAACTCTGATAAAGATATTGAATATTGGTTGTCATAGTGGATGGCAGCAAAAGTCAAGCATTCATAGTGGGTGGGAGCACATGAAAGCATAAATTAACATCTTTAAATAGTATATAGCTTATCAGAAATTGAACCAAAATCAAACCTCTAAAATGGTGGGGACAACATTGAACCCATAGATGAAAGAATAAAATTGATTGCACGGCTCCCACGATCAATTATTCTATTAAGAGCACCAGTTTCTCGACTGAAAATAAAGTGAACGAAAAGAATAAGAACCGGGAGTGCAAAATTAACTGCCTAAGGCAAAGCACATTGTAGGAGAGACATCTATAATGGAAGTGAGCATATATAAACAAGTTGGTGGAGGGCCAAAAGGAAAAAAAGAAGTAAATGTTAAAGTCATTGTAGTGCGTCTAAGATTGAAAGGCATACCTAAGATGGTAGCTAAGATCAAGATCATGCAAATGTGAAAACACCTATAAAAGAAAAAATATTAGCAAAGTCTAATTAAGTGAAACATGCAAAAGATGCAATCTTTTAAAGGGTAAAAGTACATTATTTGAAATTCCACATGCCTTCCTGGAAACAGAGCGGATTGTCTGTAATGCTACTTTTGAAAAGATAGTAGTACGTAGTTCTGCCCACAAGAGAGGGATCATAGTTAGAGATTGAAACAAGAAAATGAAACAATGAAACAAAACTCGATTATGACCTATTGACTGATAGTTTAGCTCATCAAAGAGAGACTGAAACCTTAAGACTCATTAGAGAAAGACACGTATCTCTTTAAGGTTTTATATAGAATTATGCTTAGGATTATTATCTCATACTCACAAATCTTATTACATAAATAGGAAACATATTCTAGAAAGGAAATAAAACTGGATAAAGTCACAGATCATAACATTATTCCGCTCCTAGAAAAAGAGCTTGTCCTCGAGCTCAAAGTTAGGTTAAACTAGGCAAAAGGTACCTTGCTCGAGTTATTTACATTTTTACCTTGCTCGAGAGTGTTTGATGCATAGGATAGGAGAGACTCACAGAGGCTATGGTTTAGTTTTCTCACTTCGTATATACCAGAGTTGGTAACTTGTTTAACAACAACCAATTTCTCCATTCCTTGATTCCTTCACGCATTTAATCTAACACTTAGTTTTGGTTTCAAAAATAGTTTCATCAACATGTTGCAATGTACAATCTAACATCTATTCTATTTTGTTTGCAGGTACAATCGTGTCTTTAATGGACAACTTTTACAATACAAGAGTTGTGTTTTTAATCTTTGACTTTTCAAGACAATGTGAGATTTACTTGCCGCTTAGAAACTATAATCCTGTATTAGTTTGGAATATGTAGTAAGTAGCTTTTCCCCCTAAACAAATATGCAACAAGATGGTGTCTCTTTATTTGAACCATCAATTAGGAGATGTATCTTTTAGAGTTTTAATGTAGTTGCTATCCGCAAATTAAAACACCAACTCCTAGCATTATAATCCAAGATATACCATTCTGTCAAATTTTTCACTTTTAGCTCTACTTTGAAGTTTTGAAGATGAACCTCAATTTCTTCTGTTGAAATGACCCATTTCACATATTACGGTTAGAATATCATTTTCAAAAAAAAAAAAGTTACGGTAGAGTTTCTATAATGCACCCATTACTTTTGATGGCATCTGAATAACGATAAATACCATTATTAATACTACAAGTTATATACTAACCAAATATATTAGAAGAGAAAAGCAGATACCGTTGAAAGCAGAAGCTCCAGTACGGGCAATGCCATAACAATCAAAACAGCAGTGGGGGTAAGTTCGACTTCTTCAATGTGTAAGTTTGCTTCCAAATCGGCATCAATTGCATCTTCTAGGGTGGTGATATGTTGCTTACGAGCCGCTCCATCCAAAATAATCCTTTAAACAAATGCATACTTCCACGACTCGGGACTAGTCTTGATCTCAGTTGCGATATAACCCTGCCACTAACAGAAAAAGCGGATTCCGAAGCTACCGTAGAAGCTTGGACGGTTAGTAAATCACGGGCATGGCGGCTAGAATCGGAAATTGGCTTCCTTTTCTTTCCACCAAGCCAAAATATCCAAACTTTCAAACTCTTCAAATGTCATTTTGATAGAAAATCGCATGACATAATTCCCAACTCGCTACTTGGGGGTGGTAGTACGTGATCGTTTGGATTGGGAATTTACAAGAGTGTTAAAAGATTCAAATTTAGTTACTTGGACGTCTACTAGATGATTCCGCATTCATTCTCATTTGATCGTGTATTACACTACTGATCCATATTTATTTAATAAATTGCAAACATGTCTCGAAAACATTTGTTAAAATAATTTATTTGGTTTGGACAAAGTTGGGTTCATCATCGGTTAGATAAAAGCAAACGCAATTTGTTCAATTAGTGTTTCAACCCCACCAACATTTAACGTTGGGTTTAAAGCGGCGGCACAAGTAAAAATGGGGGGAATCTCCTTAAAATATTTTAAAAGTTTTCCTTCATTGCAAAGCCAATTTCTTGAAAAACTTCGGTTTCAAATTCAAAGTCATTTAGTCGGGTAGCCAACAAAAATATTTGATTAAGAACCAACGGGCTAGTAGGGTAATAAACACGGATAAAAAAGTGTTGCATTTTTAAAAACCTCAAGCAAACGGTTATTTTGGCTATTTTCCCAACTCGAATCGGATAAATGTCTGGGACATGACCCCTCTCGAAAAGCCGATCGTGAAATGTTTGCAATGTTTCCCTTGCCTTAAGGCAGTATGCATCATCATCCAAGTTGAGTTCCAACGAGTGGACAATCCAAATTAGGACCCAAAGCTTTTTATTAACAGACTTACAAATCGTTTATAATCATTTAGTCTTTGTTGTTGTTACAAGAATCGATTTATCATTGTTTTAAATTCTAATCTAATTGGCTCAATAACCTCCAAACCGGCTTGCACGGATAAATTAATTATGTGTGCAACGCAACGGGTATGAAAAACACCGTCTAAAATCGGTTGAAGTAATATTTTCAATCTTGGAATCGCGTTTGTATTATTCGATGCATTATCAAAAGATATAGAAAAAACTTATTTTCTAATTTATAAAGACAAATTACCCGTTTTAAAAGTGTAAATAAATTAGCACCGGTATGCGGCTCACCGAATAATTCAAACGCGATTGTTCTTTTCATCATTGCCAATTATCTTGATCTAACCAATGTGACGTAACGGCTAAAAAAGAATTTACGGTATTATGAGGGGAACTCCAAACGTCACATGTAAGCGACACACCATAACGGTGTTCTTGGAATCCTAAAATCATTTTTTTCCCTCGCCGTACGCCACATTTTATACATCTCTTCTAAGGGTAGTGCATTAGTTGTTGAATTGTTGTCGTGAAATCTTCATCATCAAAGTGGTCGAACGGCAATGCTTTGTAATCACGAACTTTGTAAACGCTTCTCGTAATTTTTCGTTGTCGTAAACAAAAACACCACCTTGCGGTTGTAAGATTCGATTGACTGGATCCGATCTTGAGCGAAGTGCCTTGCATTTTGTCAAATGGTTCTTCAACGTTGTGTTTCCTTCCGATGCAAGAAACTTTAGACAAAGTTTACAACGCGCCCTCCTCGATCCATTTGACATCACATAAATCGTAGTGATCCCAAATATCTTGTTTCGAGTGTGTTCGATCACTCTCACGACTTCAAGGTTTCCCCCGACGGAAGATTCAGCAGTGTACTCATGATGAATAAAAAATTACAAAACTAAGATTTGAGAGATGTTTAAGTGTTGTGTAATAAGATTTGAGAAAGTTGTAACCAAATACATCCCCAACCTTTATACATGTTTAGGGTGGTAAAATGGTAATTTTTTAAAGAAAAAAACGGTCAAAAACGGTCACAAACGGCTATATTAACGGCTAGTTTTTAAACCCAGACCGGTTTTTTTTTCGGATAAAAACCGGTTTTTTAACCGGTTTTTTTCAAACCGGTTTTTTATCCGGTAAAAAACCGGTCTAGGTTTTTTTCTCCAAACCGGTTAAAATAACGGTTTAAAAAATCCGATCGGTAAAAAAAACCGGTTTTTCCCAAACCGGTTTCGGATATTTTTTCGGATTCGGATATTCGGATTTTTGTGCACCCTATTGACAAGCCAAAAGATTCTGGGATGTCAGGTTCACTCTCATAGATTCGCCTCCCATTGTACGCTTCACATCGATCTCATGATATTGATGAACTTGAAGTTTTACTTTGTCAATCTGCTTAGAAAAATACGCATGAGTTAGCGGCGGCTAATTAAGAAATTTTACCGATTAAACAAACAGATATATGAGTCGAACAGTAGCAATTACAAGTTCGAAATGATAGATGGATGAACGTGCATCAGCAAGTTTCGACTGCAATCATCAAACTGCTTTCTTCTGTACTTTTTGTGATAGGAATAGAAGGCCTCAATAAAACCCCTTCGTGATTAACGGAACTTAAAAATAATTCCTTAATCCGCACAAGGAGAAAAAGAGTGCCCTAGGATTTCATTAAACTCAAATATAACAAAGTAATACAAACTAATCTCCCTCAAGAGATACAAAACCAGAAAGAAACAGCCCAACCATATAAGTAAAACAGGCAAACCATATAAGTAAAACAGGCAAAACAAGGTATAATACCTGTCAAAACAGACAGAACCCATATCTGAGTTGGGATATCACCGAGCTTCTTCGCCAAAGTGAGCGAGGATCTTAGGATCTCTCTGGCTTGTCCAGTGTCATGTAGAGCAAGAGCCAAATTCCCAAGAATGGTCAGGTACTGAGAAACAAGCTGAAGGTTTCCCATTTGAACATGAGCAATCTGCAAACCCTTGGCCAGCCGATTTCTGCATCAAAGTTGTAATTTTAAAGGAACTGATTGGAAAAAAAACCCTAAACCATAAAATTAATTCAAGCATGCTATATCGAATGAGAGTATTTTTTTTCGTTTTTCTTACGTAATAATATTGTTTTCTTCCTTTATATAAGTTAATGATATCAGTTGTAGAAGTATAAGAATCTTGTTCATCCAAACATGTTCTCTTTTAACCTGAAATACTAAAATAATAGGAAATACACTGCCCTTTCGAGCATGCTAACTTATCTTTTCATCATTTTTAATGACCATCATTTTCCCACTAACAGCATCTTCAATCCAACACAAAACTTTAAACACGGCACATCACTTTGAAGCATAATCAAAATTAGATGCCCTATTCTAGAGAAAATTGTTCATTTTCATTGGATTTAAAGCATATGCCAAAGCCATGGAGATAGTATAAGGGAGGAATGAATGAATAAGAACACGTCATTTCAAATATACAAAGTTGTTTAGCATCATTTTCTGACACACATACATTGATGCTATAGCTATTACAAAACATGGATTACGGAAATGCTTTGAAAAAGGAAATTGGATTGTTTTAAATGTCACATACATGATGGACCAAATTAACTGAACCAAATAGTCAACTATCTCTCAATAAAATGGGACTAATCAAATTAGAAACTAACCGTGCTTCCTGCAGATCTTGCTGCTTCATCAATAGAAGGCCATAAGCAAAAAGGATGCTTGCTTCCTCTCGAACCCCAATAAAGGAATCCTTCATTCTGTAAACTGGTCTAATTAAATCAAGCGCCTACATGCAACATGAATATCAGTAACACAACAAGATAAGCTAAATTACAATTTTCAGCAACAATGAATTTTGTAACCAGCAACCTGTGAAGATGATTCAGCATCACCAATACAAAAGAATGAAATGGCTGCATAAGCTTGGCACATGATTTGCATTGATTTGCTCTCAGTTATCTGAACATGTGAAACAAAATGGACACTTTAAATTTCACAAATATTCATCTGGAAAACAGGACATAAGTAGTGTAAATTAGATAAAATCAGCAATAACAGAATGAGCTTGCTTATATTAACATTTAACTACCCACCTCTATTTCAAAAGCAACAATAGAATATTGAATTTGTAACTGGTGCCAAGTTAAAACATCATACCTTTGCAGCTTCTACATAGTGAAAAGCTGCTTCATCATAACAACCAACAGAATGGGAGTATTGCCCCCTAAGCATCTCAATGATGCTCTCACAGGCCTGTAAAATTGTTGGAAAGCGAACGAACCAGTTCTTCATTTGCACCAATGCCTGTAAGATTAAAATGCTATCTTAGTAATTCAAATTCAAGAGTTACTGATAGTGTCCTGGCATGGAGAATATTAAGGATCATTCTGCCATATAATTGTACAGTACGTAGCATTTACGTGCCTAGTGGAAAATGACATGTTAAAATACAAATAGATAGTGGACTAAAATAAGTATTCAAGGCATATACCATATCATTTGAAGGGGGTACCATTATTCTCACTGAAGGCAAACAAATTAACATACTGAATATATGTATTCTTACACTCTACAATAGTAGTTTCAATAAACCTGAAATGGTAACTATCGATAATCAATTCAACTTAGCTTAGAGAAGAGAAAATTGGAACTAGAAAGTCTATCTTCTTTTCTTATGTTTTTCTATTTTTTCATGATATGCAAAGTCAAGGATCCTTCAAACCATTATAAATATTAAAAATACAAAATAAACCACATACACAAGCATGCATAGATTTTGATACAAGTTATCAATTTGTCCATTAAGGTGCTGCCTAAATGAGGTAGGGAAGTATATCACACCCCTAGCTGACTCAAACACAAAAAAAAATCAGCAACGTTTTAGAGATGAAGTTTTTAGAGAACAGACGGACAGTTAACTGGAAATAATTGAAAGAATAAAATCTACCTCTTGAGCTTGAAGAAATTCAGACCGTGTAAGCTCCACAGCAACTTTATTTTCAAGGAACTGCATCAATAACATTAAATATACACCAGCCATCCAGATTGCTGAATGTTTCAAATCCACTTCTACTCAAGCAAAATCAAGAAAGTTAACAGTAAGAAACGGAAACTCACTTCAGGACGACAAATGCATGGTGTAAAAATAAGAAAAGCAAACTAACCTCTCACATCATCAGTTATCCCAAGCCTGACCAGTTCCTCTGCAAGAAATAGCAATGCTTCGATTCTAAGCATCCATCAATATAGTTTAAGGGGCTACATAGAAACTCCACTTTTCTATTATCCTCAAAAGATGGTAAAAGAAGAGAAATTCAAAGAATAAAGCAATGACATCCTATTTTAAAGAACAAACCTTTGATGATATGCATTCCAGACTGAATTCTTTTATCACAATCTTTGAAATTTCCTTTTGGACGGCCGAATATGATGACCATAAGATCAACAAGGGCATAGACAGCACTTTTTGGCAGCCATTCCCCATTAATGGGAGGTGGTGCGAGGAAAAGCTTATCTTGCAGTGCCCGTTTGATATTTCCAAAATATGTGGGTTTGAGGGAATCATTTCCAGTTGAAGTCTGTTGGTGCATGTTCTTGGAATCTTGCTTCTTAGCAGCATCCAATTTGTCCACGTGTTTGATAGCATTCTTGTAATCAGAGTTATGAAGTCGGTAGAAGATAGTAGAAGCTCATTGTAGAAGAGTAAACCCAAACAATGGGCTCTCTTCGATAGGAAAGAGGAATTAGTACCATATAGTATATGAATCGCAGATTAACAAGGAGACAAAAAAAAAGACATGGTTGAGCTTAACTGACCCTATCTGAGGGCATAGTCTCCCAGACCTGATCGCAACGCTGAAGAGCTAGCTCAACCTCGTTTGCAGTTTGATCATCCCATTGCATAAGGAGGCGGACATGCAGAATAGAAGTCACGAAGAACATCTGAAGCTCCGGATAGCAAATTTGAGTAGCGATTTCATAACCTGATTCTAAAGTGGAGATTGAGTTCTGATAGTCTCCTTCAATAATCAGAGCGTTTGCCAGCTGATAATTGAAGTTACAACACCATAACTTCACCGACAAACTGCAAGTTCAAGGAGTGCTTAACACTAGTAATTTACTCTATTAGACAAAGTTCTGGTTAAAAAAACTTATCTTTAAAAAAGAAAAACCTAAGAGCAAACATACTCGGGAGCCGCCGCAGAAGTAAGGAGTAGAGCCTTGTGCAAGATCTGCTTCTGAGGAGGGATGGCACCAACGAGATGGTAGCACTGGCTGAGCAGTGAGTAGGTTCGACACTTCAAATCGAAGCAAGAAGGTATGGAATTGAGGAGCAACTGTGAGCGTTCGAGGTGGGACTTGGCATGGTTAACGTTGTGCGAGTGGCGCAGCAGAAGAGTGGCTATTCGGAGTCGAGTCTTCACCTCAAGGATGGGAAGAAAGGAGTCGTGAGACTGGCAGATTGCCTCTAAGCACTTCACCGCCTTCCCAATCTCTCCCTTCTTCTCATGGTAATCTGCTAGTCCCCACAGCCCTTCAGCTACTGCTTCCATTCCCCAATTTTCACAAACTAACTTTAAACCACGATTAACCCGGTTCCTCTTCACGGCAAATCAGCAGAAAGAGAAATTAGAAATGAATGAATCGTAAGAAAAATCATACTGTATCTCCCAATACCAAATCCGAATTCTTCGCTTCTGTCGCCTGCAGTAGCCAAGGAGCTGCACCAAGTTCCTATGCCTTAACCTTCCCATGCTCACGATTTCGGAAACAAACTCCTTCATTCCTTGTCGCGAATCATGGGAGATTCTCTTGACAGCAACTTGTTCCTTCGAAGAAGGTAACACTCCTCTATAAACCCTTCCGAAACCTGTTTCAAATCGAAGGCAACAACGCAGCTACCAAATCTAATGGGCTCCTACAAACTTTTTCAAATAAAACCGAAAAGGTCGGTTGTTGGATTTTAAATAAACAGGCCTCATTAGTCTGGTGCCCAGATAATATGGATTTAGAGATGACGTTGAGGATGAAAACTTTCATGGAAATTAAAGTTAATTTTCAGTGAGATTTGATTTAAAATGTTATTTCGTTAATTTAAAAAGTTGTACAATTAGTAAGAATTTTGATTATAACTGAGAATGTTATATTATGATGAGTTTTAACCTAAAATATATATGTCGATAATATTTTCGGTTATAATCAAATTCTTAACGATAACTTTTGAGATTACAATCAAAATAATTATGTAATTTACATAATTTATTATAGAGAACATAATAATTTTAATTTCATCATAAAATATTACCCATATTACTCTGAAAAGTTACGCTTTTAGTAGGTTTTTCAATCACAACAGATTTTTACAGTTTTTAACTTTTTATTAACTAATTGTATTTTAGAATCATTAAATAGATTAGCTTATATACAAACGCAGGCAGCCATGTTGTGATGTTAACATGAAAACATACATATTAATTATCAGTTGTTGTTTCCGCTTAAAATTGTTAACAAGAGTATTTGTAATTAGACAAAGGACGAAGAATTTATGTTAGAAATAAGCCAACTAGTGTTGACATAAATGGTTGTGATTCAAGAATTTTAGCTTGTAAGATCAAGTTTAAATCCCACCACCGTCACTTTTGGTGGGTAATTTATAAAGTCCTATGTAAATCTCAATTAGAACTTAAGTATGTCTTAACCCTAGACCGGGAGAGTTACCCTGACCTAAACTTTAGTGTACAAAATAATAATAATAATAAAAAAAATATAAATATAAATATAAATAAAATTATATCAACTCCTAAGTTCATTCTTGTTTGTAATGCTCTGCCATGCTGAAGCAGGCAACACCAATGCTATATGAGAAACATGAGGAATTTCGTGGACCTCATTTTCCTTTCTCAAGAAAGAAAAAGGGAGAATCACATGCTGGAGTTGGGTATTAGCTTAGCCAGCTGTTACATCCGAAATTACGATTTTCATATTCTCTACCAAAGTATCAAATCATATGCAAAACAGACTACCACATTGATCTTTCATCTGTTACAGAAACAATTAGAACTAAACAAAAATCGATAGCCGAAAATGCTATATTCAAACTTTAACTCCTGTAGGCAAGAAGGGCTCCCACCATCCAAATTCATATTTTGGATAGGGTGCCACCCAGTTTTCTGGCTTCTCAAACTCCAGCTTGGTAGGATTTGAGGCTAAAGCTTCTTCAAGACTGTCAGCTCCGTAGCTATCCGATAAAACTCTGTCCAACCTCAATTTCATAAACCTGCAGAGCAATTCGATTACGATAAAAAAAGATGCAACTTAACCATGCTAATTAAAACTACAGCCAAGTCATACTGATAAAAGGTTCGGAAATCGTTTGGGATGGAATTCCATCGGTGTTAAACCGATAACCAGGATACACTTTTCCCTGCAGAGGGTCAAAACTAAAGCTATCACCACCACCGTGGGATATCGGTTTCTCTTCCCTTTTGCCTTCTAATAAGATCTGGCATTCAAATCTCTGTAATTGCACCATTCTAGGTTTACCATCTCCTAGAAGAAGTCCTAACCGAGTTGGAAGGTAGTGAAGCCTAACAAATGACTGTTGTGTAATACTAGTCATTCAATATCCAGGTTTTATGCAGTACTCGTGTAGGAAGAAGAAGATGGAAAATGAAGCAAAAACGAAACATTTTTTTTGGGTTCCAAGTCTTACGTGATCCAAGGGACATTAGTTGAAACCAAGGCAACAGCAGGCCTGCGCAACCTCTTTGTAATGTCGGGAAATTTCTCTAAGAACTTGGGCTCGATTACAAGCCAGAAGTCCTGTTCTTTATCATTTTCTCCATAGTACCGACGCCTCTCATACAAGAGCTCCTTGAAGTGTTCCTCTTCATCGAGCATGAACTTTGCATTCGCAACAACAAAATAGTATTTTTGGGCATGTTGCTGGAATATAAGAAGAACTTCAGAATCAGAAAGTAATTCATACCACCAGAAAAGACTCTTTAACAATACCATTCTGAACAGAAAACTAGCATGGCCTCTTCCATTCCTGATTTTCAAGATCTTTATCAACATAATGAAAAGAAAAAACATATTTGAGATCTCCAAAGTCAGACAAGACTCATTTTGCTTGATTGACAATCAATAAAGTGAAGCCTCATTTTAACTCTAACCATCTATCTAACGGAGGACACATTTTGAAATTTTTCCTGCTATTGGTTCTACTTAATAATGAAAGATCAAAGGCTTTCAAAACCAATGGGGTTAAATGATACCCTGAGACAATTAGAAGAAGGAATATTTTGAATTGTGAACCACATCTTTGCTTCTCATTGCCAATTGTTAAAACTAGTAGAACAGGTCTTTCTTGTTGATACATACATTTATTTATAATATCAAGGAACTTTATCAACCATTTTCTTATTGCGGAAGATGTCCACATTCAAAGACGAAGCATGATTTTATGTCCCAGGGTGTGAATCTTTAAGAAGTTATATTCAAAATTTAAGGGATGCAAAATTACAAAATTTCAGGGCTTCTGAATTAGATCATCAACAAAAAATACTTAAACTACATGATAAATAAAATTTTTATGGGTTGCAACTGCCCCAACACCCCTCGATCCATCCCTGTCCACATTAACCGTATTCAGCAGGATATTTGCCACAAAAATGGAGAAAACAATGAGAAGGAATGCATGGTTGCATAAAATTAGACTGGTTATTGGTTTGGAATGAAGTTTATTACTAAGACAAACAGAGTAGCGGTCCTACTACCTGATTAAAAGCAGTTATTATGTATCTACACAATCGGTATATGGACAGAAACATAGCAGAATATCATGACTCAAAATACCCAATTACTGCAACTATTTGATAGACGATGGAGAAGAAACAATAGATACAAGAGTACCTTCTCGGGACTGAGCTGGTCGGAGTCAACTGCAGCAACGGCAGTCCTAAAGGATGGTGTGGTCCTGGAAGCTGAAGTGAAGGAGCTCTTAATCAACAACTGGGCGCGGTTGTTGCTGCTGGGAAACGCTAAGGCTTTGGCTACGCCATCGTTGCTGCATTGGGCGGCGAATTGTGCCGGAGCACAACCCGGACCAAGTGTTAAACTTGCAGAACTGAGCGCACCTAACATTTCCTTCTCTTTGATGTTGTCTATCGGACCAGAATAGCGGCTGCAATCGGACTCTTGTTTTGAAAGAAAAAAGGTTGTTACCTTGCGGAGGGCAGAACAAGATTTTGGATTTGCCTTTACCAATTTGTAGCAATCTAGACTAGCTAGACAACCTTATCTTGTTATCTTGTAGCTTCTACAAGTCCCACGTAGGCGAAACTGGTGTGCGGTGGCTAAAAAACGGCTTGACAGGTTAAATATGTGATTGATTAAAATTTAAATCGGTTATGTTATATTATTTAATTGAAAATATTATTAAGTATAATAACATATTAGGTAACGTTTATATAATGTAATAGGTAGCGCTTATATAATAAAATAGACATTTAATCAGAAATATTATCAAGTACAATAACATATTAGGTAGCGCTTATATAATAAAATAGACATTTAACCGAAAATATTATTAAGTATAATAATATATTAGATATCGCTTATATATGTAATAAGTAGCGTTTATATTGACCTATTTTATAAGTAAATCGATATTTATACCGGTAACATTGTAAATTTACTTATTACATTATAATTATCGGTTTCGATGTTTTTTGGATCGATACAACTTTAAATGTATCGACACTTTATGCATGCACCTCGTTGGACATTCATTCTGGAAACAAGTATCGACATAAACTTAAAGAGTGTCGATACATTATTTAGACCTATTTTTTCATAAAACCGATATATTTTTATCTGATACATTGTAAATTTACCTATCACATTGTAATTATCGGTTTCGATATTTTTGGGATCGATAGTTTTAATAAATGTATCGACACTTTATGCGTGAACCCGTTTGGCATTCATTATGGACAAAATGTATCAACACAAATTTAATAAGTTTCGATACTTTATGATGACCTATTTTCTCATAAAATCAGTATATTTATACCGGTTACATTGTAAATTACATATTACATTATAATTTTTGTTTCGATATTTTTTGGATCGATACTTTTTAAAACATGTATCAACACTTTATGCGTACAATCCTTTTGGCATTCATTTTGGACAAAAAGTATCGACACAAATATAAAACGTGTCAATACATTATGCTCACCTATTTTAACATAAAATCGGTATATTTATACCGGTTACATTGTAAATTTACCTATTACATTATAATTATCGGTTTCGTTTTATTGGGATCAATACTTTTAATAATTGTATCAACACTTTATGCGTGCACCTCGTTTGGGCATTTATTCTGGACAATAAGTATCGACACAAATTACACAAGTGTCGATACATTATGTTGACCTATTTTCTAATTAACCGGTATATTTATACCAGTTACATTGTTAATTTACCTATTGCATTATAATTATTGGTTTCGATGTTTTTTGGGTCGATACTTTTAGAAAATGTATCGATACACATTTAGGTAGTTATTGTACACACCTAAATATGTCACACGAATTTAATGTTGTACACACCCTTCAACTACCACTACCAATACCGCATCCTATTGAAAGCACGACTCCCAGAAACATGTTGAATGAATGAACCTTTACTTACATCTCCATCAACTCCGGGACCACTGAACTTGCACCAAATTTTTTTTGTCATGGAACATACTGATGCAGACAATGTTAAGCTAACCGAGGAATGTCATGAAGTACATAATGTTGATGAATCTGACAGATTGGTTGGTTAGCTCTTCTCTTTACGTGATCAAGCTTGTTACTTTTACAAGGGATTCGCACGGGAACATGGGTTTAGTGGATGTACGGGAACAACACGGCTTGACGTGGAAGAGAATCTGAAGACACAATAATTTTGTTGTTCCAAAGAAGGGTTTCGAGTATCAAAAGGCAATACTGTTGATCGTCAACGTGCTCATACGCCAGTCACAAGAACAGGATGCAAGGCTAGAGTCGTAGTTACAGCAACAAATACAAAAAATCACTGGGTTATAAGTAAGTCTTATCAGAAACATAATCATGCATTGTGCACACCTGCTATGACACCATTTATGCGTTCTAATAGAGATGTAAGTAAGGCTGATATCGATGAGGCAACAACATTGAAAGAGGTCGGTGTTGGCACGTCACAAGTAATGAACTATTTAACACAGCAGACAGGGGGCTATCATAATGTTGGATTTACACATAAAGACCTCTACAATGCACTTCAAAAGGTCAAACAAAGGAAATCGTCGATGGGGATATGAATGTGCTTATTGCTTACTTTGATTATAAGAAACATGATGATCCCGAGTTTTTTATAACATACTCGGTAGATGAATCAGGGGCATTGCATAATCTTATTTGGTTGGATTCTACATCGAGATCAGATTACACATGCTTCGGTGATGTAATTGCGTTCGACACAACGTACAAAGATAATTTGTATGGTCTACCAATTATGTTTATTGTCGGTGTCAATCATCACCATAACACAATTGTGTTTTCCACTACCATAATTGCTGACGAGACGTCCCAATCTTTCGAGTGGGTGCTACAGAATTGTTTAGAAGCCATGATGAATAAATCGTCTATTTCAGTTGTCACCGATGGGGATAGGGCAATGCAGAGGGCTATCAAATCTGTTATCCCTTATGCTAAGCACAAATTATGTTATAGACATTTTTCTCGCAATGCACAAGCTAACATTGGTGACCCAAAATTTACAGCATCATTCTCAAAATGCATGGTTTCCTGGTGGATAACCGAGGAATTCGATATTCAATGGCGTTCGATTGTTTTAGAATTCAAAGTCGAAAAGCATCCATGGGTGATTGAGAAGGGACATACTCGGCACGTATACGCACAAGCATATCTAACCGATCATTTTTTTGCCAATATTCGCTTAACACAAAGGTGCGAGTCTATGAATGCTTCACTAGCGATTGCACTAAAACACAAGAAGACATATTTAGATGTTGTTCGTGCAATTGAAGATGGAATTAGTAGAATGCGTATGAACGAGTTGAAAGCGAATTACTTAAGTTCCCAGATGAAGCCCTTCCAGATCACAAAACTAGTCGAACTTGAAAGCCATGCTGCTGAGATTTTTACCCGCGAATCTTTTTGTGCGTTCCAAGATGAACTTGAACGGGAGACATTGTACCGGATTGAGGAAGAGATTCAATCCTTATCAGATGAATATCAACATTATATTTTGACAAAGTACAAAGAAAAAAATAGGACATTTGAAATTAGTTTTAATTCTTGTACGGAAAACCTAATTTGCTCATGCAAAAAATTTGAGACTGTTGGACTTCCGTGTCGCCATCAACTTCACATTTTGAAGCACTTGGATTACACATATTTGCCCGGGACTTTGATTCAAAGTAGGTGGACTAAGGATGCGAAGGCTTCTGCACCCAGTTATGTTGACTTGAATGTGCCTCAAGAAGTGATTCAAATGGCAAGGTTCGTTGCTCTACGTTCAACGTCAAGTAGGTTATGCTACATTGCATCAAAGACAGACGTGTCTTCAAAACCGCAAGAGATGAGATGAAAATACTAATAGAAGAATTTGAAAACTCGTTTGGTTTGAATGATTCAGTCAATCAGAGCAGTGTAGTAAACAACGTTCGCGGCCCTCAACGAAAATAACGCAAGCGAAAAGAAGTACCGAGGGAACAAGGTCAAGAAGAAAATTAGGCGATGTGGGTACTGCAACGGTGAGGGACATAACAAACTAACATGTCCTCAAGTCAGGCTCAGTTTGAATATAAGTACGCCTACATCATCTGATTTTTTCGAAGATGAAATGGAATGACCATTCAGTCCCGCACATGATGACAACGATCTCCATATATCGTAAGTATCAACATGACTCCTATTGTGTATAAAAAACATGTACAACAACCTATTGCTAACTTTTCTCATCTCATACATAATTACTTTCACATACAAAATTATAAATCGTATGTAACTTATACAAAATTAACCCTACATTAACAAAATTTCCTCTCTTAGTCTATTTTGATTGTGGCTTACGAGACCGTTTAATATTTCATCCGCATCATCATATAAAAGCTAAACAATCTATAGACTATAGTCTCCCGCAATCATGACCGGAATCAGTTCTATAACTGGGATTATCCAGGTTAATCATGTTGACTGCATAGCCAATAAAACCTGGGGGTCCAAATGGTAAGCTAGCAATTGGTAAGGCAAGCTTCCTTTGAGGGTTTAGGGCCCTCCAACGTAAGGAGCGCATGATTGAACATTACATATAATAGTTGTATTCAGTTGTTGAAGAATTGTTCTTAATTTTATATAAGGATAGTTGTTATGATATATGTTAACGTTTTGGGACCAATTAGTTAGACGCGTTCAGTAGCCTATATCCTCGAGGTAGAGCACAAGAAATTTGGCATTTAAAGATTTACCAAGAGCGGTAGCTTTTGCTCTGAATGAATATCGAACCTAGAATCAACTTTGCAATTATGCCTATCATGCTAAAGAAAACCTGCTGAAAAATAGGATTTGCACACAACTGCAAGCATTTTAAATGCTAAACCCAACTCTTCACATGGAAAATTTTCCATAAAATGATTGACATTTGCATAATTTTCAATGTGAGTAGTTGGGTTTAGGGTTTAAAATGCTTACAGTTGTGTGCAAATCCTATTTTTCAGCAGGTTCTCTTCAGCATGATAGACATAATTGCAAAGTTGATTCTAGGTTTGGTCTTCATACAGAGAAAAAGCTACCGCTCTTGATAAATCTTTAAGTGCCATATTTCTTGTGCTCCGCCTCAAGGATATAGGCTACTGCACACATCTAACTAATTGGTCTCGAAACGTGAACGTATATCATAAAACTATCCTTATATAAAATTAAGAGCAATTCTTCAACAACTGAATACAACTATTATACGTAATGTTTAATCATGCACTCCTTACGTTAGAGGGCTCTAAACCCTAAACCCTCAAAGAAGCTTGCCTTACCAATTACTAGCTTACCATTTGGACCCTGCAAGGGGTTTTATTGGCTATGCTGTCAACATGATTATGAGCTTCCTTTATCCTTTCGCATTCAGTAAGACTGTAGAGATTTGAATCAATTAAATTGGATTAAATACCATTTCGAGAACAATTACATGAATACATTGATACTTAGTGGTCGCTTTCGATTTTCTTCAATATTGATA